GGGGGGGGCAAATCTATCCGTTTTGCCTTCAAGACCAACTTCTCATGTGCGCAAGGCCACTCCTTTTACTAGCTCATTACAAGCCTAATAAGTTTGGAGTTTAACGTCTTATTAGTACCTTTTTGCTTTAGTTTAAGTCCGAATGTAGTGGTATTTGTTTCCAATTCTAATGCAATTGTTTGAATTACAAGCATGTTGGAGGATTGGAACTCAATGATGAAATCCAACTCAAAAGGAGTAATCTATCTCAACAAGGACAAAATGGGACATGCAAGGCAGAAATGCGGTCCGCAGATGATCAAGAGGTCCGTAGAAATGGAATCGCGACCACAGATGATCCTTTGAAGCCTCAAAGAAGTTTAGCAGAAGCGTGGCCCGCACACCAAATTGTGCGGATGCATAAGCTGGTCGCACTGAAAAAGCTTGATGAGTTTAGAGAAGGTGCAACAGACCAAGTGTGAAGCCTCTTGAGAGTGCGGTCCGCAACCAAAATGTGCAGCCGCAGAAGATGAAGTGCAGCCGCAGAGATAATTGTGCGGCTGCAGAACTCCTCCTATTGCAAGAGCAGAAGCTGAAGTGCGGTCCGCACATCAAATTGTGCGGCCGCAAAACCTCCTGAAGGGCATTTTTGTCAATGAAATTCTGGACACTATAAATAGACTAGAAACACTTTTTTAGGGCAACTTTGTACTGTAGCAGCATCTAGCAGTTATATTTAGCTATTTTGGGCAATATGGAGCAACAGTTAGAGAATACCCATTAATATTACATTTTAATTCTAGTTTTATGTCTTCAATTACTTTTTTTTATTTTTCTATGTCAATTATCATGAGTAACGAGATTTATTCTAGGGTTGTGACCCAACCCTAGTGCGTAAAACTTTTGGGTTATTAATACTAATATTGTTTTATGATTGAGTGCTTGTTATTTAGCCTTGTTTATGCATTATGAAAAAGAGGAACCTAGTCTAGGAAAACTTGGCTAATAAGAAATTAAGTTAGTTAAAGTTTTGACTAGTTTTATTAAAGGATTTGAACTAGGGATAGGGATAATCCCACTTGGATTCATGTCAATTGCTTAGATTGCCACCCATTTGGACTTGAGAAAGCCAATTTGGGTATAACCACTTTATGACCGAGAGGTATTGAGTGGGTACTTCATAATACACCCCGATCTACCAAACAAGCATTAACTTAGTATACCCATTAGGTTTATACCTAGGTGAAGGTTACATCCCTAGGCTTTTCCTCTATTGATAAAAACACCAAAAATAATTTATTCTCTAGTTGCTTTTACTTAGTCTAATTTCTTAGTTATTAAATTAGATAACAATCACTCTCTTTGTTTGGAAGTATAATTAAGTTATTTCATGTTCCCTTCCCGAGTATTTACTTTAATACCGATCATAAAACTCCCTGTGGAATTCGACCCCGACTTAAGTTGGGTATTATATTTGCAACGATCATTTTCTACTTATTATTAAGTGTGAATTGGACGTGATCAAGTTTTGGCACCGTTGCCGAGGCGTTTTTACGGTGTTAGCTATATACTTGAGTTTCTTTCTTGAAATATCTTCTTTTACTTTCGTGGTTCTAATTTGTTGAAGTGATCGTAGGTTCCAAATGGAGAACAACGAACTTGAAAATTTGCCATTGGGAGAGGTGGATGACGAAGATGATCAAGTTGATGAAATACCTCTAGCTCAACAACAAAATCGCCGAGGTCGTGGTCAACAAGACAATGTGCCTCCTCCTCCCCCACCTCCACCACCACAAGCGGTGCAACATTGGACTTTGCCCAATGAAGGTTATGCAAATGCCATAGTCCCCCCTCACATTAGGGCGAGAAACTTTCAAATTACCAATGTGTTGCTTAATTTGCTCGAGCAACGAGGTTATTTCACCAAGGCGCCGAATCAAAATGCTTACAAGCATTTAAACGGTTTTGTGGATACGTGTTGGGGGAGCAAACAAACAAATATCTCGGAAGATGCTTTGCGGCTAAGGCTTTTTCCCTTCTCTCTAAGGGGTAAAGCTTTGGATTGGTTGGAACGCTTGCCTAATCATTCTATCCATACTTGGGATGAATTGGCGGTAAATTTTATTGCAAAGTTTTTCTCTCCTGGGCACATGGCTACTCTTAGGGATGAAATATTGGCTTTCAAGCAAGAGCCCAATGAACCTTTGCATGAAATTTGGGA